CTCCTGTCTCCTAACATTCTCTGGCCCGGGCGTGTCGGAGCAGGGAGGCCGGGATGCCGATCTCTGTGTGGTCCTCTGCCTGCCTTGGGGGGTTGGAAGTTTTTTTGTGGGGGTGGGCTTAAAGGAATAGAGCCTGGGTGGCCAATTTTGTGTTCTGTCTTCCAATTCCTTCTTTTTGCCACAAATATTCGTCATCTTTCCTGTCTGTTTTAAATTGAGATACTTGGGCCCTGGCCGGTTTGGCTCTGCGGTTGGAGCGTCGGCCTGTGGTCCAGAGAGACCCGGGTTCGGTTCCCGCTAAGGGCATGTACCTCGGTTGCAGTTTGTCCCCGGCCCTGGTTGGGTTGTGCAGGTGGCAGCCACTCGATGTGTCCCTTTCACTTTCACATTGATGTTTCTTTCTCTCTCTCTCTCTCTCTGGACAAAAAAAATGGAAAAATGTCCTTGGGTGAGGATCAAAAAAATAATAATAATAAATTGAGATACTTGGTAACCACTGCTCAAGCAAGACTGATCTAGATAGGACATTGCCCAGTTGAACTGCTCAGTGATTCAGGGACTTCACAAGTTCCACGTGGCATGATGATTCGCCCAAGAGGGTCGTTCTGGAAGAAGCAGACCTGTGGCTGCTGCTAGGAGCAGGAGGGCTCCCTTCAGGCCATGGTAACGGTAGGGGGATCCATCCCGTCCCCAGAGTAGAGGGAGTGCTCCCCCCACTGAGGGTGAGAGCCTTTGTGGAGGAGGAGGAGTGTAACCTGAGTCTGACCTGCTGCTTTTGATTAAAACAAGATGAAAAGCCTGCCCCAGTCCAAGGGCAGAGACGGGGTGCTTCCACCGGAGGCAGGTTATTTCCTGGGAGCAGGGTGGCATCCTCCCGCCAGGACAGGACAGATAGGTCCCCGTGAGCTCTGTGCTTTCTGTGTTTACCTTTCCGCATCCGCACATAGCCACTGCTCACATTTCACAGATGAAGAAGGCGCCCAGTGGGCCATCAAGACTAGACCAGGACCAGCTTGGGCCACAGCCCCCCTCCTCACCCCTACACTCTGCCTCCCACCCTGTGAACTCTAAATACAGACACGTCTACATATCTGACACATCCATGTAGGGGCCTCCCCTGTGCCCACCACCCGGGTCTCCTGGGCCCTTCCTTCCCGTAGACTTAGTGCTTATTGCTTTTGGCTCAACCCCTGTGTGTTCACCCCTAAGTAAGAGCTTTATTTTGCCTGTTTTCAGACAGTAAATGGAAACTTGGCTGATGTATTCTTTTCTTTCTTTTGTTTTTTTTAATGTTTTTATTGATTTTTTAGAGAGAGAGGAAGGGAGAGAGAAACATCGATGTAAGAGAGAAACATCAATCGGCTGCCTCCTGCACGCCCCCTGCTGGGGATCAAGCCCACAACCCTGGGCATGTGTCCCGACCAGGAATTGAACCGGGACCTCTCAGTCCGTGGGAGGACGCTCAATCCACTGAGCCACACCAGCCAGGCTGATGTATTCTTTTCTTTCCCTCAACATCATGAGATTTCACTAGGTCAACATGCAGACCTCTAGTTAGTACGTTTTCCATGTTGTGTAGTATTCGTTGAATGTATAAACCAAAATTTATCTAGTATTTTATTGTTGCGTGTATGAGTTGTTTTTTTCAGTTGTTGGCTTTTATGAAAAAACAAAACAAAAAAAACTCTTATGAAAGTTGTCCTTTGGAGCCTGTATGAGTCTGTTTCTGCAGGGTCTACACCTAGGTGTGGACCTTCTGGGTTATAGTGTGTGCTTCTTCAAACTGCAACACTGTTTTCATAGTGTTGGACCAGCAGAATATGAGATTTACCATTGTTCTGCATCTTCAGCAGCGGTGTAATGTGCCATTTGAGTATTGCCAGTCTTCTGAGTTTGTATTTGCATTTCTTGTTTTGATTTGCATTTCTGATGAATTATATGGTTGTGTGCTTTTCCGTGTTTATTAGCCATTTAGATGTCTTTCCTCTTTTGTGTTTCGCCATTTTTCCATTAGGTTCTCTGGGGGTTTTTAAAAATTATGCATAGAAGTTTAAAAAAATGTTCCGAACTAGTCCTTTGTTGATTATCCATGTTGCAAACATCCTTTCCTATTCTGTGACGTGTCTTTTCCCTTTCTTAGGTGTCTTTTAATGTAGTCAAATTTATCAGTCTTTTCCTTATGGTTAATGTCTTTTTTGTGTGTGTCATAAGAAACCTCCTCTATGATTACGATTGTTTTATTTTGAAATACTCCTAGATTCACATATCGTAGCGGTCCCCTGTGCCCTTCACTCCGTTTTCCCCAGTGCTAACGTCTTCCATAACTGTGGCACAATATCAAAGCCAGGACACCGACATTGGTACAATCACAGAACTTATTCAGACGTCACGGATTTTACGTGCACTCGTGTATGTGTTTGTGGTTCTATGCCCTTTGGTCACACGTGCAGGTTCCCGTGGTCGCACAATGAAGATACAGACCCACTGCGTCACCACAGACAGGTCCCTGGTGCTGTTCCTTCCCAGTCACACCCCGTCCCCTGGCAACTGCACATCTGCTCTCTAACTCCGTAACTTTGTCCTTTCAGGAATGTATAAATGGAATCATACATTTTGAAGCTGGCATTTTCCATAATACCCATCCAAGTTGTTCAGACACTGAGGTCCTAGAGAGGGGCCCCAGAGACCACTGTAGGACTGGGCCCGATCAGAAAATTCCCACACCCACATTTGGGAACAGGCACTTAATTTTCCCTGCTGGAGAGTGGGAAGTAGCTTTTTATTTGCCTTTTAATTTATTATTTTTTAATCCTCACCCAAGGACATTTTTCGATATTTTGTTCAGGTAGAGTGGGAGGGAGGGAGAGAGAAACATCGACGTGAAAGGGACACATCGAGTGGCTGCCACCCACACGACCCAACCAGGGCTGGGGACAAATTGCAACTGACGTACGCGCCCCTAGCGGGAACCGAACCCGGGTCTCTCTGGACCGCAGGCTGACGCTCTAACCACTGAGCCAAACCGGCCAGGGCTGCCTTTTTATTTGTTAAATAACATTCTCCCCTTATTACAAAGTTTATATTCTCTGTGTAAAATATAGAAAAGCACCCAAAATAAAAAAAAAAAATAGCCATTATTCCAACTTTTAAAAATACCTACAAAATGATGTTTCCTTAAAAATGGAATTATGTAAATATTGTTTTTGAACTTTTTAACACAGCATGAACATTCTCCAGAACTTTTTAAAAAATTGAAGCATTTCATTTCATGTTAGTGCACTGCGTATCCCCCTCAGCCCCCAGCAGTGGACACAGGCTATCAGTTTTCGCTGCTGTAACGAATGCTAGGAGCGACATCTTTGTACCAGTCTGGTGGTGGTTTATACTTCCCGGGCCAGGAGGCAGGCTGGCGGACTCAGAGGGCTCCGGGAGCGCCGGTGTGTAGGGCCCAGGAGGACAGGCAAGCATTTGGCTCTGGGTCCCCAGTGCAGAAGGCTACCATTGAAGATGGGACGTTTTCACGTCAGGTGTGTATTTGTAAAATCTCTCTCCGACTGCAGGATGGAGGAAAAAATGAGGTGGATGTGTGACTTCAGACAGAAGTCAGCGTTAGCCAAGAAAGACGGTGGGGAGAGTAACAAAGTGACGGACTTGGAGCCCTCAGGCCCCGGTGGCAGGACTCAGCGCCCCTAGGCCATGGCTCCTGCAGTGAGCAGGATGGAAGGGGTGCCATTCACTTACCTGGCGACACTGAAGGAGGGCCAGGTGGTGGTTGCTGTTGTTTTGTGTAATGATGGAAGCTCAGATCATTTGATGGTCTTACGGTGCTGAGTCTGAGGCGCCGCTGAGACGCAGTGGAGATGTCGGGGTGGTGGAGGTAAGGAGCTTGGCCTAGAGACACAGGTCCAGGAGTCCCTGATGTAGAGATGGCGCTGGACGCCGGAGCCTGGCTCACCTACCTGGGAGGGCTTGTGTGCTGAGGACAGCCCTGGGCCAAAACACTGGCACTCCTTGGGTTGTAACTGGCAAAGGCCAAAGTCAGTCTGCAGAAGTACCCAAAGAACCCTGTTTGTACCGTCAGCCCAGATGGAGTACGGAATGTGTAGGTGGACGGTAAGCCAGATGCTGTTTGCTCAGGGCACTAGGTCAGCAGCACGCGTGACTGCCACTCGCAAGCGTAGCCCCATGTGTGGGGAATCCCCACGCAACAGTGTTCTCCACCCTAAATGTTTCTACTTAGAAACAGGATCTATGGTGTGTTATGTTTTATAAAAACTACCTACAAACCCAGATCAGGGAAAACTATTAATTATATCCATAAAGACAGTGGAAGCTCTAAAATTTAGAAACATTTTGGAGAAAGAACATTTAAATACATCTGGGTAAGAAGCAGTGTGACCCAGTTTTAAACATTAACAGGGAAGCTGACTGGCAGGCTTCAAAAACAAGAAATTTGCCCTGGCCGGTTTGCTCAGCGGTTAGAGCATCAGCCTGTGGTCCAGAGAGATCCGGGTTCAGTTCCTGCTAAGGGCACGTACCTCGGTTGCAGTTTGTCCCCGGCCCTGGTTGGGTCATGTGGGTGGCAGCCACTTGATGTGTCCCTTTCACGTTGATGTTTCTCTCTCTCTTCCTCTCCCTCCCTCATACTCTATCTGAACAAAAAGGTGGAAAAGTGTCCTCGGGTGAGGATAAAAACAAACCAAGAAATGTGAAGAAATGATACATTTTCAGGAAAGTTGAGTGCACGTGAGTTCTGCATTGGGCAGATGGTGTGGTTGCTAACCCCTGTGGAGAAGAGGCTCCAGTGGAAACGAGGGGAGACAACACGCCTTCTACAAGAAAAACGAATATAATCTAGGAAGTAACCAGTCCTACAGAACGTCCAAACCGACAGATGTGGGTTAAATACGTAAAAACCTATCCTTCTACACAACCCACTTTGCAGCAATTAGTAAAAGCAACAGTAACAAAGCCTGGAAGTGAGGCAGTCAAACCAGAACTTTATTTCACAATTACTGAGCGTCTGAAACGGAAATAAACATGAGCATGCACAATGAAAGTGGTGCTCAGGGAATCTTATGCAAAGAAATTCAAAACAAGGAAATGGAAAGCAGATTAAGGGTGCAGTCTGCAGCTTCGTCTGGTTCCCAGCACGGTGGGGGTGGAAGGCGATGCAGCCCCGAGACCCAGCATCTAGACCAACTCTGGTCTTTAATAAGCTGGAACTGTAACGAGCTGTCACTCACTGAGATATGTAGTCTTGAACACAGTATCATGAAAACTGAAACTTTACAGAAAGAATATGAAAACAAAATGTAAGTCATAAAAATATTGCTGCTGCAAGGAACTTCTTGTGGTTATTTGTAGAGATTAATCTAGAACTATGGCACATGGGTGTAACAGTGGGAAGAGAAATTTATGGCTGGTCTGCGGCTGAGTCTGATCTAGTTTCTTCAGGGTCACTGTCCCTTTTCCTGGGCACACAAATCCCAGAAGACTGCATATAGCTGAGACCTTCCCAAGACGCTGGATGTCCAAAGTGTCATACCAAAAGGTGAGCGTCCAAGAGACTTCTTGAGGCTCAGTAACATAGATGTTGGGATCACTACCCACCCCCAATGCTCTGGAAATTCTACCAAAATGCTTCCTAACGGAGGACACTCATTTCTTACCCTTTCCGGGAAGCATCCCTGGACCACGTCAGACTGTCTCAAGGGTTCATAATTGTTTTCTTCAGAAAACAAGATGTGATCCTTTTGGGACCATTAAATTACTAAACCCTGAAATAAACTTACACCAAGACCTACCCATGTTTGTCTTCAACAAAACAGTTACATTTAAATGGCAACTTTAAAACTTAAAACCTTCCCATGTCTCTGGCTGGAGGCTTCACTGGAGGCTGACAGTTCCGGGTGAGACAAGGGATCCTGTCCTGGGACACAGTCTGCAACTCCTAGCATGGATTTCGAGTCGTAACATTATTTATAAATATACTACAAGACTGTGACAGCACTGTCACCGGACTATAACAGCCCCTTTCTTGAATGAGAGAGGCAGGAAGGGGCTCCTACCGGGGGCTGCACACCCACAACACCTTCAGTGGCCAGACCCTCGAGCCATCTGCTCATGGGCTGAACGGGCTTCCGGTGACCCCAACACTAGAACAGAGCACTGCAGAACTGTCTGGCGGCTTCACACCCACGGCCTCAGCACCCTTGTTCTCTGGCTCGCAGTACCAAGGAGGTCAGTTCCAAGCAATTTTGGGATGTCCGTAAGGCTGAGGAGAGAAAGCAAACACGAGACTGATCAGATCAGCATTCTCAGGAGCACTGGGAAGTAATCCATTTTAAGTACGAGCTAAAAGCACAGTATAACTGGCTGTTTTCATTTGCTGCTGAAAAAGCTTTGACCCTAAGCCACAAATGAGGCACTTGATGATTTTTTTTTAAGTACTGGCCCTAAGGGTCATTTCCACATGAGCTCTGTGACACCCTAATCCTGAGACGCTCACTGATCCATGGTCGAGTAAGTTTAAAATGCTGTCCCCTGCACCTCGAGACCCAGCCAGTTACATTAACACTGCAGCAGGCGTAGGACCTGCTCTCCCCGAGCTGGCTACCTGCAGGGGCGCCACGGTCGACGCCTGTGTGGCCCTGCTGGAGGAGGAGCCGAGAGGACACGCCTGCTGGGCTCAGCCAGCCCCATCACGTCCCCCAGCACTGAAGTACTCTGAGGGGCAGGGCGAGACGGAAGGGGGGACAGGGTCAGACAGTGGGAGGGGCTTTGATGTCTGGACAGTTGGGGCCTGGAACCACGACCTGCACCTCTCGGCAGCTGTGGCCAACGCTCTTCTTGGATTGCTGTTTGTCCCCAGACACGGTCAACAGGCACACAGCCTAGCAGTCAGGACCTCAGCCCTTGGGTTGCAGCAACAGGAACCAAAGTGAAATCACCTCAAGGGCTGTATGAGGCCCCGCCAAACACCGAAACAGACCCTGGGTCAAGGCTCCCTACTAACAGAGAAAAGGACAAATACAAGAGAAGAGCAAGGAGTCCGAGCTGGCTGGGAAGCAGAGCTGGGGACAGGGTTGCACGCCGTCCCGGGAGGGCAGGGCCAGGCGGAGTGGCTGGCAGCAGTGGCCTGTCAACTGCAAGGTCCCTACCTTGGGCCGGTACCCCTGCCTGGCCATCATCTTGGCCTCCTGCTGCAGCAGGGCGCTGCTGAGCTGCTCCGCCCGCCTCGCCGCCTCCTCCTCCTCCGCCTCTTGCCGGTCCGCTTCCCAGGCCTGCAGCTGGTGCTCTGCAACCTGGGCACACAGAGGAAGTCACCTGAGACCAGCCACGGGGCAGAGCCCTGCCTCTGACCAGGAGGGCAGCCTGAGGGAAACCTAGTGGGAGAGTCGGGGGAAAGGACCAGTGACGGGAAGAGCCGCTAAGTGAGAAGGCATCTGGTACTGGCGAGGGTGTGGGTGGTAACGTGCACCTTACAAAGAGCTCTGGACGTGGCCACGGGTTTGGAGGGTTATTTTCCGTTACTATTAGGTACTGAATTGAATCAACAGAGTGTGGCCCAGTCAACGAAAGGTTTTCCCAAACAGACGGGAAGAGATGGTGAGCAGTGACGAGAGCCTGGCTCCCACGAGACCTGGAGCGGAGCCTGAACTACGATCAGGGTCAGGGTCTCGGGCGGAACGGAAGGGGGTGCACTGAGCTCTCGTGGGCTTCAGACAAGGTAAGTGGCGCCGGCCGAGGAAGTGAGCCCAGGCCCCACGGCTGCAGCTCCAGCCCCGTACTGAGCTGCCTCCTGCCAAGGACTTGGCCCCACCTGGGCTTCCAGCTCCTGTTTCCTGGCTGATTTCAGTTCTTCACTCTCCTCTTTCTTACGACGAGCCGACTCTCTCGCCTCCTCGAGGTTCTGAATAAGTTGCTCCCTGTGCCTTAGGGATTCCTCTTGCGCCCGCCGGTTTTGTTCAATCTTTTCTTGTATCTGCTGTTGTCTCCCTGTCAGGACCTAGCTCAGCAGAAAGGAAAGGGGAAGGTTTTAGTTGGACCCTACAGACACTTGTTCTGCCAGCTGCGGACCGGCTGCAGCTGCACCTCTACGGAGACCCAGCCTCATCCTCAGCCCGAGGCCTACATGCGCCAGACCAAGGCAGCCGACTGCAGAAGCGGTCCCAACAACGGCCCACGGCCTAGCCACGCCCTAACACACAAAACACCCACAGACTGTGTTTCTGAGACACAGTTGCACACCAAGGAGCTCAAGAGGCAGGATGGAACACCCTCCACAGGGCACAGAAACACAGCGACCAAGTGAATCTCACTCCCTACCAGAGGGTTCTAGGAAAAAGAAATAATGCCCAGCCAGCGTGGCTCAGTGGATTGAGCATCATCCCATGGACCAAGGGGTCCTGGTTTGATTCCCAGTCAGGGCTCTATCCCCAGTGGGGGACGTGCAGGAGGCAGCCCATGTTTCTCTCTCACATCAATGTTTCTATCTCTCTCTCCCTTCCTTTCTCTCTAAAAATCAATTAAAAACATATTGAAAAAAAACAAAAGAAGCCACAAGCCACACAAATGACCAGAGGTGGAGTCTGGGCCATCCCTCCCAAGCTTTTGGATTTAGATTTACTGCTCAAGAAACAGAAGCCTGCTGTGTTTGAGACCTGGCTACAGAGCAGGGTAACAGCCTACTGCCAGCCCAGACCATGGTCAGGAGTCAGGAACCAGAAAAGTCTAGAAGCCACTTGCCATACACAACAGTTAGGTCTCTGGAGGGGACACATAAAGTGGCTACAACGAGGAGGAACATTTTATTATTACTTTTAATCCTCACTCAAGGATATTTTTCCATTGATTTTCAGATAGAGTGGGAGGGAGGGAGGGGGAGCAGAAGACAGAAAACAGACAACATCAATTGGTTTCCTCCTGCACCACCCGACCAGGGCCAGGGATCAAACTGCAACCGAGGTGCGTGCCCTTGACTGGAATCGAACCTGCGACTCTCTGGTTCGCAGGCCGACGCTCTGACCGCTGAGCAAACTGGCCAGGGCATATAAGGAACGTTTTATTTTATTTTTTTACCTTTTTAAAAATATATAGAGATATTTTTTATTTATTTTTGTTACAAATGTGTTCTCCTTTTTCCCCCATTGACACCCTCCTCCTGACCCCCCCAACATTGTTGTCTTTGTCCATTGGTTACGCATACATGCATATAAGTTCTTTGGTTTATCTCTTCCCTCCCCCTTGCCCCCCTCTTCTGAGGTTTGTCCGTCTATACTCTACTTCTTTTTTCATTTTCTTTATTGATGTTAGAGAGAGAAAGCGTGAGGGAGAGAAAGACAGAAACATCGATGCCCGAGAACATCAGTTGTCCGCCTCCTGCGTGCCCTCCACTAGGGATCAGGCCCACAACCTGGGCATGTGCCCTGACTGGGAATTGAACCAGTGACCTCTTAGTGCGTGGGTCGAGGCTCAATCACTAAGCCACACCGGCCGGGCCTGTACCCTACTTCTATGTCTCTTGGTCTATTTTGTTCATCAGATTATTTTGTTCATTATATTCCACAAATAAGTGAGATCATGTGATATTTGTCTTTCTCTGGCTTATTTCACTTACCATAATATTCTCCAGGTCCCTCCATGTCATCTCAAGGGATAAGAGATCTTTCTTTCTTACAGCTGCATAGTGTTCCAAAGAGGAACATTTTAAATGAGGAAAATCAAAAGATGCTGGAGACTATCTGGTATTCACAGAAGTGAAATGGCACCAACTGGGATCCGATTTCCCATGGATTCCAAAATGCAGTGTACTGATGTGCACAGAGTATAATTTCCCTTTTAAACCACTTTAAGATAACTTTCAATACATAGAAATGAAGACATTTTTCCCAAAATATTTCCTCTTAGTTGGTGTATGTCTTATACACGTTACTTAATCACTGGCAAATAAAACACATTCTTTAGTCCACTTCTGGTTATGCCCCCCAAGAAAAAAACCCTAAGTATGGAAAAGCTTCATACTCCACGATGTTTACTGCAGTTTCCTATATTAGCTCAAAACTAAAAAAAGAATGGAATACTTGCCCAGGCCAGTTTGGCTCAGCGGTTAGAGCATCGGTCTGCAGTCCAGAGAGACCTGGGTTCGGTTCCTGCTAGGGGCGTGTGCCTTAGTTGCAGTTTGTCCCCTGCCCCAGTTGGGGTCGTGTGGGTGGCAGCCACTCAATGTGTCTCTCACATCCATGTTTCTCTCTCTCCCTCCCTCCCACTTTATCTGAACAAAAAATGGAAATAAAAAATGGGTGAGGATAAAAAAATAAAATAAAATAACCGGAGAAGACTCTGTTCCCAGAACATGTGGCAGGGTCAGTACAGGGTCACTAATTCCCAGACGCCCGCCCGGGGACCAGCCCGGCCTCGTCCATCACAGCGGGGATTACCTCGGTCATCAGTCTGTCTCGTGCACTCCTCTCTCGGGCCCACTCCGCCTCTCTCTTCTCCCACACCTCCTTGGCTTCCTCCCTAGGGAAACACAGACAGTGGCAGCAGGCTCACCACCACCAATGGCAGCCAGAAACTACAGGACCAACAGGGCTCCAAAGCACCAGGCGGCACACAAGCTTGTAACAGACGAAGGACAGTCCACAGCAAGTGTTTCTGCAGTGAGTACTTTCAGTGACCTTTAAGCACTCCACCTCCTCATGAAAAGCTCTCTGATGTCTCGCACCCGGGCCGTTAAACACGGAGGTGGACGAGCCGTCAGACTGGGGAGGAGCAGCACTGTCCGGGCCGAGCTGCCGCGCTCCTGGCTCCCTGCCAGCTCGCCCCTGCCTGGGTCAACCAGGACTTCCTCGCGTCTCCATGACCCGAGTACCTGCCACTTGGCTGGAGGATCTGGCATACAGAAAGTGCTTACTAAATATTACCTGTTTTTTATTTCAATCTACTAGGTTAATTTTTAGGATCCGGACCCATTTATATAGACCTAACAAGCATGCAACATCTCCACAACTTATACTACTTTCCTTTCAAATGTCTAAGGTTTTAGATGAACAGATCCTTACTCTAAACCCTAATGATTTCCTTCCTTCCATCCATTTATTTATTTATTTATTTTTATAGAGAGAGGTAGGGAAAGAGAGAACCATCAATGTGAGAGAGAAATACCGATGGGCTTCCTCTTGCACGCTCCCTATTGGGGATCGAGCCTGCAACCGGGGCATGTGCCCTGACCAGGAATCGAACTGGGCCCTTTTAGCTCATGGGATGACGCTCAATCCACGGAGCACCCAGCGGGCTGTGTCTTCATAATTCTCAACTTAAGGGAATTATTTCTCCACATTCTGCTGGAGACAGCTCTTGGGTCATCGGGAATGACAAGAGGAACAGTGAAGTCAAAGGGCTCAGCAGCATCACATCGGCTGCGCCCACAGGCCATTAGTAGTCACTTCGGATCCCATCCTCATCACCAAAAAGGTCCCACGGCTCCTTAGTCTGGTAAACCATGGCTGAGTTACTGATTTCCATCTTAACCTGAAGGAAACACCTCCACAAGTCAGGTCCTAACAGAGGTGTGCTCCTCATGAATGACAGATACGTAACCAGGGACAAGTGTTTCAGTGACAGACCCCCCCACAGAGACCTGTGGGGCCCCAGGTACCAGAGCAGAAGCCAGGAGTGTCCAGCTCACACAGTTGCCGCCTCTCACCTCAACAGCATCTGCAGCTCCGCCTCCCGCTCCCTCTCCAGCTGCAGCTGCTCCTCGAGGACCTGCTTCATCCACGCCACGTCGGCCAGGGCCTGCTCCCGGCGGGCCAAGTGCACGCGCTGGTTCTCCTCCTCTTTCTCCAGGAGCGCCTGCAGGATGCGCTTGTCTGCCTCCTAGAGGAAGGAAGAGGAAGCACAGTGGGCACAGGGCGGAGCGTTCGGCAGCCACGCCTCCACTCCTGCCAGCCCCTCTCCTCAGGCCCTGCACTGACAGCAGACACTGGTGATACTGCCAGATGTTCTGCACACAGAGATGGGAAGACGTGGGATGGCTTAAAATGACACCGCAGAGGCCCAGGAGCTGTTCTCTGCCTGAAGGGAGACGCCTCTGCCACCACATGCCTGCCCCTGCCTCAGACACATCTGGTAGCGCAGCTTTTTAGAACACAATTTGAAAGCAATTCCACTTCTAAGAACATAGACTACCGAGACATATGCACAAAATGCTCACTGCAGCTGTCATGTAAGAGGAAAACCCGGAACAACCCAAACACCCAATGGTAGGAAAGAGCTATTATGTACATCTAGCAGCAGAACACCGTAGAAGGAGGGAACTCTGCAGCCTTGAGATGGGAAAGATGTCCCCAGGGGAAAAGCCACGTGGCGCTGCCGCCCCAGGTCTAAACACTTGACATGAACACTAAGCAGCTAGTGAAGAACAAGCTCAGTCTAAGCAGACTGACCACAAAGTGTAAGATTTACTGTTTGGATATATGCTGAGGAGTACAACTTCAAGCACATTTTTTGAAAGCACCGCTTCCCTATGAGTGCACGTGTAAATATAGCTAGAAGGCTTCATGCCAAACGGACCCCTCTGGGGAGGGGCGGAGACTGCAGGGGCTGAGCCAGGGGAAATCTCACTTGGCGTTTTACTTCTTACCAGACGCAGTTGTTAATGAGCAACGGAAAACATGTTTTTCAGAAGAGGGTGAAAGAGATGCCAGGCTGTCTCTTCAGACTCACCAGTTCCTCTTGGATCTGCTGTGTGCGTCTATTGAGCTGCACGTTATACTGATGTCTCAAAAAGCGTCTAAAAATGAACAGAATATAGCTCGCCTTCAGTGTCTTGTAAAGAATTCAAGGGAGGCTAGACAGCTCCTTGCTACAGGGTGTACCCTGTCTGGCTCCGGAACACCAAGGCAAGCGTGAGAATGGGAGGCTTTGGGAGGGCGGGGCGGGGCAGCCCTTGTCCACGCACCCCAGTTCCGCCTTCTGCCGGAGGGCGGCCATCCGCTTCCTCTCTTCCTCCAGCCTCTCCAGTTCCCACCGCTGCTTCAACAGATTCTCCTGTTCCTTCTTCAGTTTGGTGGCCTGTGGTTAGAGTGACAGTAACCCCCACTCAGATCACGAGAATCAGAGCTTCCTGCATTCCCCATCCCCAGTTTCTGCAGACCTATGCAATAAGGGCTGGCCTGGCCACTTGGTCATCACATCTCCTCCCACCTCTGGGCTCTGAACCCCTTGCGCCAGCTTAACTCACTCATTCATCCCAACTCAGATGAGCCGTTTCTTAAATATGTATGGGGTTTTTTTTTGTCTTTTTTTTTTTTAATCCTCACCCGAGGACATTTCTGCATTTATCTTCAGATAAAGCAGGAGGGAGAGAGAGGGGAGGAGGGAGAGAGAGGGGAAGAGAGAGAGAGAAACATTGACATGAGAGAGACACATCGACAGGCTGCTACCCACACAACCCCAACAGGGGCCGGGGACAAACTGCAACCGAGGTACGTGGCCCTTAGCGGGAACCGAACCTGGGACTCTCTGGTCTGCAGGCTGACACTCCAACCACTGAGCCAAACCGGCCAGGGCTGTTTGGGTTTTTTTTAATTGATTTTTTTTTTTTTTTTTTTTTTGAGAGACGGAGGAAGGGGGAGAGAGAGAGAAATATCGATGTGAGCAACATCGATGGGCCGCCTCCTGCATGCCCCCCACTGGGGATCGAGTCTGCACCCCAGGCATGTGCCCTGACCGGAACTGAACCGAGACCTCTCAGTCCACAGGATGATGCTCAATCCACTGAGCCACACCGGCTGGGCCAGATGAGCCATTCTTGCAAGAGCCTTTCCCAATACTGTGGACAAGGACGGGCCCCAGGCTCCTTGCTCCCATAGGACCCTGCACTGTCCACGCCTTACTGTGACTCACCATCTGCCTCCGCTACCTGGGTCACACAGGATTCTGACACTGCTTTCGCCGCGAGGGCCAGGTCTGTGGGCCTTGCTCACGGCTGCATCTCTCGCACCCAGCCCAGAGCTTAGCACCTAGCTAAGTAGTGGGCACTAAGATCTAGTTTTTGAATCTTTCACGCCTGGGGAAGGGGGTAGTTCCCTCCTCTGAATGGGAAGATCCCACCCCCTCAGGGAACTGCACCATATTCTCAAGATAGCCTGTTGGACCAAAGACCCTCACGGTTTGTGCCTTGAGACCCAAAACCTGCTAGCCAGGGACAGCTGTGTGCTAGAACATCAGACTCAGTCAAGACTACTCAGTGCTGAAAATTCCAAGTTCTAAGGAGGCTCTCAGACAGCAGGTCCCAAATCACATCTGAGAGAACAGGCATTATCTCCTTATGGCTACCATTCTAGAATGTGGGCACACAATACAACCTGGGAGCATGGGAAAACCACAGATGGCTACAAATGTCAGAAGGGAGAACCCAGCATCACTGCATTTCTTACTCACCTCCCCAGTATCTCTTTAGAGCAGCGTCTGAAATGCCCATTTTGTACCAAGCAGCAGAGAGGCCATGTGGCCGTGGTGTGCCCTCACCTCCATCTCCTTCACCTTCAGCTCCTCCATCTGCTGGAGCAGCGCCTCAGCCTGGAGTTTATCCTCCAGCTGCCTCCTCTCCTCTTCTGCTTTCATCCGCTCTAGCGCTTCCCTTCGGGCTGTTTCATACTCATTTTCATACCGTTTCTTCTCTTTCTCCTCCGTGGCTTCTTGCTACAGGGGCCGAATGAATCGAGATCAGTGTCTGTAACACGCAGCCAGCAAAGCCCCGGCTGGTGCGGCGCTCAGCTGGCCGCAGGCCTGGTCCCCACCCGACTTGTCTACACGCGAGCAGGCCTCCTCTCAACCGTGTGACCCAGGGCTCAGTGCTCTGTGGGAGCGCCCCATGCGTCCAAGACGAAGCTGGGGAAGCACGCAGCACAGTGCATGGCCCTGAGGAGGGGCTCAATGAAATACTTGCTAAAATGAACCCAGACGCAAAGCAATGGGTTCGTGGAGGTGTGGACTTTTATCCCCAGAGGCGCAGCTGTAAGCAAGGTCATGCTGCACGTTCTATCCAGAGAGACTACCAGCAACAAAACGCCCTTCAGGATGCCCAGTCCCCACCACTGGCCAGCCCTGGTCACCTGGGAAGGGTCACACAGGATTCTAGCACGTTAGAGTCTATCCCTAGACTGGAGTCATGAACACCGAAAACAAGGAACAAACTCAAAGACACGGAGCCAGCCTCCCACTGCAGCACACAGGACTACTTCCAGGGCCAGACGCCACACCTGCTTTTTCTCTTCCTTCTGCGTTTCCCAGGCGTTTATCACATGCTTCTTGTGGAGGTCCGATTCAACCTGAGGATGAGAAGGAGCTCGTCCACTTCCGACCGGGTTCATCTACAGACCCGCTGGGAGCACAGTGCCATGCCCGAACCGTGCCGACTTCCCTCTAGGAGGACTCCGGGGGCGTGGCCCGGGGGCTGGTAAGGAAGCGCACCAAGACCCCAGTGCAAGCCAATTAGAAAACCAAAGGACCGGGATTCTGAACTAATCTCAGGAGTTGAAACAAAGTAACAGAAACTTTTCTCCCAGTCCCCGGACTTCAGCAGAAACAGGACACTTTCTGCATGCCAGGACGCAGGGCAGCAGGAGCTGGTGCGGGACAGACCCCACCCTCTGCTCGCTCCCTCCCCTTCCTCCGCAAAGCAGCGGCTGTGAAACATGTGGCATGCTCCAGCACAGGCAACACGTCTGGGTGGTTAATAAGAGATTTGGGTTTAAAGAATCTTTTGGATCAGAAAATGAATTATAGTGCTCTGTCCAAAAGTTTTATTTGGGAAATTATTTATAAAATTTTAAATTTTCTTTCTCAACTTACAAATACGGACATTTGCAACTAACTTAGTGTTCTGAATAAGCCTTTCTGAGTACATGAGTTTGGAGGACCCACTAAGTTGACAGCAGCCAGGGAGCAATGTCTTCCCACAGTTGGTGCTAACTGCGCATACTCCAAAGCCCCGAGATGCTCCATTGCTCTGTGACTGGCAATTTCTATATGTAATTATGAATACAGAAATTACCCCCCCAAAAAAAATTAACACCACCAAATGTACACACAAAATGCTGGTTGAGATAAGGTGAGATTAGTAATGAGACTATTTCCCTCTAGTCCGAACTCTGCTGAACAGATGCTCCCCTCTCCCTCCCCCAGAGCCTAGGTTGTCCTTTCTTGTCCCACGCCAGCTTAGGCCTTCGCCATCACTCACCTGGGCTGCTGGAGCAGCCCCCCAGTTGGCATCACCTCTTCCCACCCACCTCGACATTGCTGCCAGAGTTGCTACTCCCCAAAATGCAGCTGGGATCCCACTGCACCCCTGCTTATCACCCAGGCGGCCCCCACGCCTCCAGGAAAAGCACACAAGGCTGCCGAGGTCTGGCCCATCTGCCTTATCAGCCTCCGCTCTTGGGGCTCCCCCTCCCTGACAGCCCAGCCCCCCAGCCCCTTGTAGCTCCCTGGACTCGAGCTGTCTGACTCACGCCTCATCCTCAGACAGTTGCCTCAGTCTGCACGTCCTTTCTTCACCTCTCCACCATCCAGTCAACACTCTGTCATTCTGAACTCCTCCACCCTAGCAACTCCCCTGGGACGCCCGCCTGATCTCCACGGAGCGGGGGCACGGCCCTGAGGCCCACCTTCCAGTTCCTCCCAGCACCCGGCATCCTGCACTGTAACAAGCTGTACCCTGTTTCCCCAACTAGACTGGGAACTCCCTAGGAATGGGGGACCACCTCTAGTCTGCACGCCTGTACAGGTGGACATTACAACAGGTGTTCAGTACACAGTGGTTAAACAACCAAATGAACCAGACGGCTGGAGTGTGTCCTCCTGTCTCAACCCAGCACAACATGCAAGTCAAAAACAAGTCAGGAAACTTGATTTCATCTACTTAGACAAATCAACAGAAGGATCGCCTTGATTTTCACCTCTCGAAGTTTGGGGTCATTCTTTTTCCAGTGTTCATACAGAAGTTGTTCAGCAATCTGTCAAGAAAACACAAAGAGGGAAGCCTGATGTCGCGTTCCAAATCCACTCACGTTTCGGACAGCCACACCGGAAGCCAGCTGAGACCAGAGCGCCTCCACTGGCACGCTGTCACTGCACCGCCCTTCAAACCTCCTTGCCTTGCACCCAGGGCTCCGGGAGCCAGACACCTGAGTGGACCCAGAATCTGATGTTACATATGCTACCCATCTGCTTCAATATATACAGCAGGCTTGCCCTGGCTGGTTTGGCTCAGTGATTAGAGCACCGGCCTGTGGTCCGGAGAGACCTGGGTTCGGTTCCCGCTAAGGGCACGTACCTCGGTTGCAGTTTGTCCCCGGCCCTGGTTGGTCGTGCGGGTGGCAGCCACTCGATGTGTCCCTTTCACGTAGATGTTTCTCTCTCTCTCTCTCTCCCTCCCACTCTATCTAAACAAAAAAATGGAAAAATGTCCTCGGGTGAGGATAAAAAAAAAAACCACACACACACACACACAGAGCAGGCTTAAAAACACAAATTGGGCCTGGCCAGTATGGCTCAGCGGTTGGAGCATCAGCCTAAGGACCAAAGAGTCGTGGGTTCAGTTCCAGTCAAGGGCAAGTACCTTGGTTGCAGTTTAATCCCTAGCCCTGATTGGGGTTGTGCGGGAGGCAACTAATCAATGTGTGTCTCTCACATTGATGTTTCTCTCTCTCTCTGCCTCCCTCCCTCCCACTCTATCTGAAAATCAATAGAAAAATATCCTGCAGTGAGGATTAAAAAAAACAAAACACACAGATTGGGCTCCCCACTCCACACAACTACTTTGGAAGATAAAATACACCAGTCCCAGGCCTTCTGGGGCCACAGAACTGGACTTAAAAAAAGGGACTCAGATGTAATGATTTAAAGGACCAAGGAGAACAAAGATGACTCATGCAAAACACACAAGCAAGGAACAACTTAGAGTAAGCACTCTCCTGGCTGTCTCTGGAGTTACCTTCCACCCCATCAGACCACAGCGCCCAGGGGTGACCCACGTTAGCACCACTGACAGGCTGGGGATGCTCCTAAGGGCGGTGAGAATTTACCAGTTTCCTTTGCTCTTCCCGGGCTGACTTGAGATTCCCATGCTGCTCCCGGATTCTTTTTTCCCGCAAGTTCATGCTCAGCCTCAGCTCCTCCAGTTCCCTAGCCAGCAGGTCCTGCTCCTCTAGCAGAAGCTGCTGGAGTCTCTCCCGTCTGGCCTCCAGATGCCTCCTCTTCTCCTCCTTCATCTTCTCACGCTGGTAGGCATGCATGCTGGGTGAGGAGGAGCCCAACATAAATCAGTCGTGCTACAGCCACATGGGGCACTCTGCTATGGGTAAAGAGGCTGAAGTACGTATAACATGGTGACATGGGAAGGGGTCTTCCGGCCCAAGTTAACAGAGCAGGTCACAGAACACTATGCATAACAGAATCTTGTTTTTGCAATAAGAAAACATAATACGCTTATATATGCACATGATAATATTAATAGCAAATATTATTTGAGCAATTACCATGTACCAGGTAAAACCATGGATGGTTCATCTCGTAAATCCTACAGAGCAGGTCCTGTTTCAGCACTACATCAATGATGAAGAAACTGAGTCTCATTCAAGCAGTAAGCGACATAGTAAGGATTTCTATCTAGGTCTGTCTGACTCCAAAGTCTCTGATTTTAACCTCCATAATTTTACATGTATTTTTATAAAAATGGGTGGATGTGTGTGTATATATTCATACACAAAACACAAATAGGAAAACGTATAGGAGGATATGCAATCAGGCTGGGGACGCGAGTTTACAAGGAAATTTCCAGATTCTACATACATTTCTTATCATTTTTTTTTCTTTTTAAAAAATATGTTTTGCCCTGGCCGGTTTGGCTCAGCGGTTGGAGCGTCGGCCTGCGGTACAGAGAGACCCGGGTTCGGTTCCCGCTAAGGGCATGTACCTCGGTTGCAGTTTGTCCCCGGCCCTAGTTGGTCGTGCGGGTGGCAGCCACTCGATGTGTCCCTTTCACATCGATGTTTTTCTCTCCCTCTCTTCCTCTCTCTCCCTCCCGCTCTATCTGAACAAAAAAAATGGAAAAATGTCCTCGGGTGAGGATAAAAAAAATATGTATGTTTTTATTTATATTTTTAGAAAGAGAGGAATGGAGAGGAAGAGAGAGAACTATCGATTGGCTTCCACCTACACGCCCGGCACTGGGCACCTGACCAGGAATCGAACCAGCGACCTCTTGGTCCATGGGACAATGCTCAACCAACAGAGCCACACTGGCCAGAGCACATTTTGGATTTTTTTTTTTTCTAGTGCAAATGTATTACTTTGCTGATCTTTTTTTCAATTTTCAGTTGGAAAAACATCACCAGGCAATCAATGCTGTCCAGCAACTCCCTCAAGAAAACATGCTGTCAGGCCATAGTCTCCCAGGTCCTTAAAGGTACATCCCCTGACCAGCAAGTGGCCGCCCACCTCCATCCACTGTCCGTCACCGCAGTTACCTCCGCTGGTAGGAGGTCTTGGAACTCCACTCTGCCTGTTTGGAGCTGCAGATGTTAGACATCCTGAAGTAGCGGCTGTTCTCATCCCACTGCTGCCGAAGCCGGGCCTCCTGTTCTCGGTGTCGCTGTTGTGCTACCCGCTGATCCAGGAGCCTCCGGCTACACCAGTAGGAGGGCAGCGTGGGGAGTGCCATCTAAGGACAGCAGTGGTAGAAAAATGAGCTTGCTGCCGCCCTAGGAACCCTCTCAAGCTCGGCCTCATCCCTTTAGTGAGTGAGCCTCACCCCTTGGCTGCACACTGGAATCACACGATGGAGCCTAGGCCCCACTCCAGACCAATTAAACCCCAAAAGTGTGGGCTCCCAGCATCAGCATTTTTTAATGACTTGCCATCGGGGCTGCAAATTGTAGATTTACATAAGCCTGAACTGCACTCAGCCGTGGCAGACATCATCAAGAACACTGTAGTCAGAGACAGGGAAGCACAGTCCTAGCAATGCCCTGCATAAAGTGACGAATAATTTAAGGAACGTGTCTATGCTCTTGATATATGTGACCTTTTTCATTACTATCCCCCCATTATTTAGGAGGGGAAGAAACTTAAGTTCACAGAGGGAAAGCGACTTGCCCACGATCACAAAGCAAGGAAGAGGAAATAAAAGACTTGGGATCCTAATTTCTGTCCGTCTGAGACCAGGGCAAGAGGCTGCCTGCTGGGACCAACATACCCTGGCTTTGTCAGCCCCCAGGGAGGGGCCTGGCCCAGGTGTCACATGTGGAAGTGTTCTGGGGGACAGATCCCATCATCCTACAGATGGAGACACTGCGACCCAGAGACAGGGTCACAGAGCAGTCTGGGGACTCAAATGGAGACTTGAAAGCAGAGAGCAGTCTCACTCGGATACCTTTTCCCTTACCCAACAGCTGTCCCCATGTGCGCGTCTCAAGGTGCTTGGCTACCATAATACTTAAGGAAAGTCTGCTGAGCAAGCAAAAAGGCCTGAGTCCGCGCCAAGTCTCAAATGCAGACTCCTCTATACCCGAGGGGAATAATCTGCACCTAGGGGCCAAGTCTCGCCTGCGGCTGCCCATGTACAGCCTCCGTCTTGAGACTGGGCTGGACAGGTTTTCTCTCTGCCCTGGTATGCGGCCGATGGATAAATCTTGGCGCCAGGCAGGAAAGTTCCGGTTCCGGACCAGCCACCACCAAGCTGGGCTGCTTCCCTGAACCAGTCGCATCCCTCTCTCGGCCTCAACAGACACAGATGACGAAAGGGTCACAGAAGAAAGTGCTGGGGCCAATGCGCGGAGGGAGCAGAATGAGCGCGGGGAGCCGACCCCCGGGCGCCCTGCGCTCGCGTCCCGGACGCCGCCGTGGTGCCCGCCAGCGCGAGGCCACCGCAGCCGGACTCTGCGGGTCCAGACCCCCCACGCCGGCTCCCGGCCGAGCCCAAGCTCCGACTCACGTCTCTCTGCGCCCCGGAGTTTCCGAAGAGTCCCCAGGCCCGCGCTCCCGCCTGCCCCAACTAAACCCGCTAATCCCCAAGCCGGCCGTTTCCCCGCTCGTTGCCCGGGCGACGGACCGGCGACGGAGCGCCCCGAGGGCCAAGCGGCCTCCAGCACTGCAGACAGAGGAGGCTGTGTTTTTTCTCTGGCGCCGCCTCGTGGTGGGCGGGAGAGCAATCGCAAACGTCGCTAGTCCTGGAAACGAGGAAGGGTAAAAGAATCCTGAATTCACTGCCCCAAATTCAGGGTAGTTTCCTAGGGGGATAAAAGTGAGGGTTGGGGAAATCGGGAGGATACAATAGGGGAAGAGGACATAAGCCTGACTACACATGAAAATCACCTGGGGAGGTCTTAAAAATGCAGATGCCTTAAAAAACAAAAAACAAAAAAAACCCTAAAATAAACAACAACCCTGGGGCTGGTGTGGCTTAGTGGATTGAGGTAGTCCCATGGACTGAGAGGTCCGGTTCCATTCCAGGTCAGGGCACATGCCTGGGCTGCTGCGGCTCCATTCCCAGTAGGGGGCGTGCAGGAGGCAGTCAACGGATGTTTCTCTCGCTCCCTTCCCCTCTCTCTAAAAAAAATCAATAAAAACATTAAAAAATAAAATAAAATCCAGATGCCCAGACCAAGCTCCAGGCACGTCCCATCAGGTTCTTGGAGGGGATCAGTGGTTACCTAAGCTCCCAGGTGCATTAAATGTGCAACCAGCTGGGGGAACCACTGGTGTGAGTAGAGACAAGTTACTGGTAACTTTCTATTGTTTTAGATTGGTTCTAGGTTCAAAGGTGTTCATTCTACTAGTGTATTTTATAACTCACATGTGCTATAAGTATTATTTTATGTACCAACTATTTCATTTAAAAGATAATGAACCCTGGCTGGTGTGGTTCAGTGGTTAAAGTGTTGGCCCTCCCACTGAAGGGTCGCTGGTTCGATTCCCAGTCAAGGGCACGTACCTGGGTTGCAGGTTCAATCCCCAGCACAGTTGGGCATGTATGTATCTCTCTCACATCAATGTTTCTCTCTCTCTCTCTTCCTGTCTTTCCTTCCACTCTCTCTTAAAAAATCAATGGAAAAAGTATCCTTGGGTGAGGGATACCAAAAAAAAAAAGAAAGAGTTCAGCAATATTAAATATATTAGTGACAGGCTGATGACTGTTGCCCACAGGAAGCTGACGGAGAAACCCTGGCAGGAAACCGTCCAGGTGATGCTGCACACCCTGGGCCCTGGGCCAGTTATGAGGAGCTTGGCCTTGTGTCCTGCGGTGTCCTAGCATGGGAGAGAAAACAGGAATGGGGAGATGACACAGAAGCAGCTCCCCATTGGCTGAAATGTGACAGCGCTGGAGGCCGTGCCATGTCCTCACTTAATTAGCAGGTGGCATTGCCAAGGCACAGGTATGTATGCTGCGTTTTCAAGCATTTCAACATCAGCCGCTCCAACTCCTCACCTGGGCGGGGCTCGCCCACCCTTGAAGATAAAGGATGCAGAAGTAGACAGATGAGCTCAAAGACCCTGGGGCTATAGGGCTGCCTCTCAGAGCCCCAGTTTTGTGTTTTAATAATAACAACAACCGGAATAGTAATACTTTTAGGTATTCCATGAGAAAGAAAAAAGTGTGAAAGGGCAGTCACAAAAAAAACCGTGGGTTTCACTGGGGGATAGGATTAGGGGTGATTTTCATTTTTATTTCTCTTTGGGTTTTTTACAATGGTCACTGTTTTTTTTACACTGTTACCTGTGTAATTGAAAAACAACAACAACAACACAATGCCTTGGTTGATTAATCATAACAACCTGCATTTCCCTCATGCTTTATATTTTATGAGGTGCTTTCAATGCATGGGTGGCTCTCAACCCTGGCTTCAGGTCTGAATCACCTAGAGAATTTTGAAATCTTGATGCTTGATCCCTAAGACAGAACTTCTGATTTAAATAAATGGTTAGGGATGGGGCCTGGGCATCTGTATTTTTTTAAAAACTTTTAATTTCAGAATAGCCTGTAGTTGTACAGAAAATATTGCAAAGGTAGTACAGAGCGTTCCCTTATACTTTGTATCCAGTTTCCCATGTTTTAAAATACAGTGTACATTACATACTTCCCTAGGACAGAAGTCTCACTGGGGTCTCACCGGGTTGAGGTCAAGGTGTCAGCCGGGCTGCATTCCTTTCTAGAGGCCCTCAGGGAGAATAGGTTTCTTTGCCTTTTGGGCTTCTCAAGTCTGCCACATTCCTTGACTCCTTCCTCCATCTTCCAAGCCAGAAGCCCAGCATTCTCCTCCCGCTCTTCCCCAGTCCCATCTTCTTGGACCACCCCTGGGAAAGCTTCTTCACTTTTTTTTTTTTTTTTATCCTCACCCGAGGACATTTTTCCATTTTTTACTCAGATAGAGCGGGAAGGAGAGAGAGGAAGAGACAGAAACATCGATGTGAAAGGGACACATCGAGTGGCCGCCACCCACACGACCCAACCAGGGCCGGGGACAAACTGCAGCCAAGGTACATGCCCTTAGCGGGAACCGAACCCCGGTCTCTGTGGACCGCAGGCTGACGCTCTAACCGCTGAGCCAAACCGGCCAGGGCAAGCTTCTTCACTTTTAAGGAAGGATTCAGTACCCACCTGGATGATTCAGGATAGCCTCCCCATCTCAAGCTTTTTAACCTTAATCACATCTGCAAAATCCCTTTTGGCATGTAGGGTAACCAACATATTCACGGGGTCCTGTATTAGGACTTGGACCTGTTTGGAGGTCATTTTTCCACCTACCACAGGAGGAAAGGGGGACACGCCCTTCATCATCATTAACTTTGTTATTGTCATTCAATTTTATTTGTTGTTGTTTTTTTCACCTGGAGGCTGGGGCATCCTTCCAGGCACTCCTGGCCTGTGACATGCGCCTCATCCCTCCCAGCGTGGAGGTCACTGCCCTGAGTGACCTGTACAGGTAAGCCTGCCTTCTTCAGGTGTGTGTCCGGGACCTCCCACTACACCTCCATTGGTGCCTCTTCTGTAAACCAGGTGAGCTAACCCCAGACCTATTCCAACAGGCCTGCTCCTATGTGCAGAGGAAGCTGGAAAATGGAATTCTGTTCTAGAAACTTCCATTCAGAGCCCTCAGCTCATCCTACTTCCATCTGCTGGAATACATTTATTTGATGGAATGGCACTAATGCTTTTGGGAGTTCATGTTAGTTTTCACGGCCAGCCTGCTAGGAAGGAAGGAGCCTCCGTCTGGCTCCAAAATATTCACCTCTCGGAGCTTTTATTCTCTCATCTGTAAAATGGGGATCACAGTGCCCGTTTGTTTTTAACAGTTGCCTTAACCCAGCGCCGGGCGCATCATCCGGACCTGATCAGTGGTTAGTGCTGGTGTCATAATTGCCCTGAAACGCACGGTTTTCTGCATAGCACCCGCCTCAGTGAGGCTGCGCGCAGTCCCTGCCTCCTAAGGAAGGGGCTGGGAAATTCGGGCTGATTTGCACACTGCCCGCTGCTAAACTCATAGCCATTCCTCCCAACTCCTGTGCTCGGCCCCACCCTGACTGGAAGGGTATTGACCCTTTACGCGGCTCGGGGTTAAATCCGATTTGTCTACGCCTGCTGTGATGGACCCACACCCTTGACCGGGCTGGGAGTGTGCTCGAGGCCCAGTTTTGCCCAGTGCACTGCTGGGGAGATGGTTTTGAGGGTGTTGTCACATTTGCGGGAGACCCATGGTTCTGCAGCTGTCATCTCACCAGGAGAAAGCCACCTGGCGCCGCTTTCCGAGACCGTCACGGGCCAGGAGGAGAGAAGAGTTTGGTACATGGCGGTGATGACAATATGAGATCAACCCACCCTGTAGGCCCCCACCCCATAGCTTGGACTTCCTTTTTTCTCCTTTTGCCTTTTAAGATTAAAAAACAATTTTTTTCACCCCACACCACCACACACACAAAAAAATCTTCTAATGGAAAAAATTACATAACTTGAGGTCTACCCTTAACAAAATTTTAAGTGTCTGGTACAGAATTGTGAATAGATAAAGAAAACATGGTATATACATATGGTGGGATTCCATTTTAGAAGATAAAATAAAGGGTCTTATTGCTGAAGTAGTTTTCCAGTCACCAGGACACGTTCCCATTGATAAACTTTTCAGAGAGGGAAACAGGCTTAGCGGGGTCGGGCAGAGGACTCTTATGGCCTGGTAGTGAGTCAGGGCCCTATCCTACTGGGCTGTCAGATGTGGGTGTGGTCCACGAGACGGGCACGGAGCCAGCCCTGTGTTCCCCATGCCCTTCCTGGACGTGACACCCCTGGCTGTCCCTGGATGACAGAGCGCCTCCCCTTTCTAAATTCCCAAGTTCAAGGTGACTGACTGGTGGATTATGTCAAAGCAGGTCTCTTCTCTGCTTAACCTTGAGCCTCCTCAGCTCCCCATGTCCCTCTGCATGAAGCCCACTCCATGAACAAGCCTCTGGACCCCTGGTTGACCTCACCCACCACACTGGCTGGCCTTTTCATCATACTGTTTCCACTTCCCCCCTTCTAACTCCTATCCTTCAGGTCTTGGTGTAAATGCCTCTTCCTCTGAGAAGCCCTCCATGATGCCCTCTGAATAGGTTTGGTCTCCTGGCCTCAGGACACACTGTGTTTCTTCCATAGTATGCATTGATGTGTTAAAGGAATGGCTTTTAAAAATGAGAATCCTTGCCCTGGCCAGTTTGGCTCAGTGGTTGGAGTATCAGCCTGCGGTCCAGAGAGACCTGGGTTCGATTCCCGCTAAGGGCATGTACCTCGGTTGCAGTTTGTCCCTGGCCCTGGTTGGGTCATGCGGGTGGCAACCACTCTATGTATCACTTTCACGACTCTGTTTCTCTCTCTCTTTCTCTCTTTCTCTCTCTCTCTTCCTCTCTCTCCCTCCCACTCTATCTGAAAAAAAAAAAAGACAGAATCCTTGAGCATCCACCCACGCACCAAGAGGTTGCCAGTTCGATTCCCGGTCATGGCACATGCCCGGGTTGTGGG